ATAAAAAAGTGTCCCTTCTGAACTCTATCCGTGGGCACACTGTATATTTACGAAAAGGTGCCATCACAACAATATGTTGACATCGGTATGGAAGTTCTGTGTCGCCTGTATGCGTCTTTGGCAGTTAGACCATTCCTCAACTACGATTAATATTCAAAGAAGGATTCCAGAATATCTTCTGTGCTCATAAAATAACCGATACTGTACCCTTAGAATGTAGAAAGTAAATTCAATGCATACAAGTGATCCTGCGTGGGCATGCGACTTTTCTTAAGGTCATTGTATTTAAAAATAATAATAATAATAGTTGTTTCTTGTAACAGTAGGTATTTACAGTTATTTCGTCATTGGACTTACCTTATAAACTTTTCCGGACTGTTCGATACTGTAATCGGCACGAACTAAACTTAATGGTGTATGATATTTCGCCAAATAGATATGATTATTGTATGGACATATTCGTTACTTACTAAAATATTTGCAGGAAACGCCAATGCGTCTTTCTATAAAGCCACGTTATCGTCGTCTTTGTCACCATATCCTGTATATTTTCGCGTAAGTTGTGAAATGTGTTACCGGGAATATAGTGGTAAAAGAACTGATACATTATGAATGGCAAGCTACGAAGCATTTAATTGTGGTAACGTAAGGGAAATGTACAGTTTGATACAACTAACATTTCCAGGTCTTAAAATTGTAGACCAGTAATTTTTACTGTTACTGTACTACATTAGACAATATATACTGTTACCCACTCTTACATTTATACACAGAATTTCCTTTGAAAACAAATACGAAAGTAGGTAATATGTACATTGTTATGGGTAATCCTTGGAATAAAATTATGATCTGAGGTATTCCGCTCTCCTTGAAATCCTATCTTAAATGCTAAGGATTGCTAGAGTCACGCTCTACCAAACCTACAGGGTGTTCTGCCATTCCGAAGGTAACTCAGTAATTTGAAACACATTATTATTTGATCTTTTGTACGTTTCGTTTAACTCATCACATTGTTTACTTAATTAATATTACTTTAAACATTTTTGTGCAGAATATTAAATCTTATCGTCCGAATTGTCATATTTTTGCTGCAATGACTACGCCTCTGCTTATCGCATTCGCATTTCATATAAAATAGAGGTACCAGGCACCATCACCTTGTGATAACTTTCTAAAATAATAACGTTATTTCCCATTTAATATTAATGTATTACGTTCCTACAGCCAAACCGTATGCAATCACGGCATTAATCTTATTTTTTCTACTCCGCAGAACTTGTACTTATTCTACGTTTTTCCTTTACGGTTTCGTAACGTAGACATTCCATATGTTTCAAACCCAGCCTATATTCGGGAGTGGAGAACATTTTAATGTGTGGGTAAAACAACAACCAATTACTTTGTATTTAAAATAGTGTATAAGTTTACACCAATCGCGAATGATTTTTCCAGTACACACAACCCGTATGTACAGAGTGTTTAAGTTACTTAAAAAAGAATTTTAATTATTTGAGGGAAGGACTTCGTTTTTATTCGAAAGTTTATGATCTTTTATTAAAATAATATTAGTAAAATTATACATATACTTTTTTTTAACGGAAACATGTAATTAGGTTTCTTGTAACCTGTTTGTTTCTTTTATAAAATAAAATAGTAGTAGAAACAATGTCGTGTCTTAAACTTAAATGTTTTATAATTAGACTGTGGCCACGTTAATGACCTTTTTACAGGTATTTGCCCAAAATCATTACAGACTTGTGCATAATACCTTCATAGTATTTATGTGACTCGCATTTAATATAATGACATGACTAAACGATAATTAATTTTTATCAAAAGAATGTACCTATATATTTCAAAATAGTGAATGTTAGCACATACATTGTGAGTTACTAACTTGGAATAAATTGTTAAATGTTATTATTATTACAACAATTTTTTATGATTCCTTCTAAAATACCATTTTGAAACCTAGTTAATTTAATAACGCGCATTATTTTTGAAATTGCAAGAATGGTAACAGAATAATCCTCGAGACGACTTGGAGTTTTGGAGTTTGGTGTTGATCAATTTTTTTTTTAACAATTCTGTACGGTATAGATGTTGGCATTTTTCGCGGCAAGGTACGATGGAAATGAATAAAGACAAGGACCGTATTTATGTGTCGACTTTGTAAATACAAACCACGTCTTAGATAAATGTTTGCCGACATGTGTTTTAAAATCCTCAAGTCTTCCATACTATCTTTAGTTGCAAGCATTATATGACCAACAATCTTATCAGGTACACGAGCTCCTCAAATTCCTGAGTTTATTCCATGTTCAGATAAAAAAAATGGATCGGAATTTGAGATTGAAACCTTAATCGTGTACGTGATAAGGCCTAGGCATCTAAAGAATGGACAAATATATTGATTTTATTAAAATTAACTTGAGTTGTTTTTTTTTTTATGAACGTCGTTTATATGTAGGTTTGGTTCGAAGTAATTTTCGCGCCATTTTTATGTATACATGAAAAAATAGCCATATGGGTGTAACAATAGTATAATTTAAAGTAAACTAAATATTTAATTATTTGAACCCGCATGGTAAAGCAATATCGTGTACTTCTGAACGTATTTTGTGTTGGCGTTGTTATTTTATTTATAAAACGGTTCCTGTGTAACTCTGCACCGTGTCACTTCCGGTTAAGTTGTTCAGTTTGTTCATTTGGCCTTTAAAGGACGACTGTTTCATTGAGAACAGGTAACACAGAGTGAGTCAATGTCGTTAAACATTTTACTTCTTAGAACAATTCGGCGTCTTGTTTGCTGGAAAATAAATTGTAATCCATTTCTTGAGAAGCTTTCTCAATGGATGTTTTGTGTCGTTTTCTAAGCCAAGAAGGATGTTATTAATTATGGAACATGACCTTTTCGTTAGGTATTAAAAAATATACCTAGCTCTAGCTCGTACAGGTATATATAAGCACACAAAACATTTGTTGGCAGGTAGTTTATTATCCGATATATTAGTCGTCTAGACAGGGTCGTACTCAAGGTAAAGCAAAAATCCGAAAACTTTCTATTGTTTGCCAAATCTCAAACCGTATTTCCCAATTTAAGTCAATGTATTCTGACTGCACGAATCCTGATATATATTTGTTTATAATGTTTAAAAAAATGTACTTTGTGCTTCAGTTTCCTTTTTCTTTTAAACTCGGACTTAGAATTTATAAATCGTTCCGTATATTTTACAATATACTTCCAGTAAAAATTCCCGTTTCATGGTAAATAATTAGTTGTCTTAAACAAGTTAATATCATAGCGAAAAGAACGGTTATATAAAAAAAATTAACGGAAATGTAACTAGTAACTTTAATTTGTTCTACTTGCTCTGAAATTAGTTGATGTACCTTACTATTAATAAAACATGAACGCTAATGTAAATATTTAAGATCACAGGATTCACAGACTTCAATTGTGTTGGGAGTTTTTATGCCTTGAAAAACTACCTTTGCTTGTATCAGTAATTATAGATTTATTAAAATAAATTTTAATATTTTTGGCATCTCTTTATATTTCACTCGTGTATAATGGCCATTAATATAACGTTTTAAAAGTGTAATATATACTACACTTCAGTATCTTGGGAATCCCTTCTTATTTGTAACATTTCAATTTAAAGCCACCCAGCGAAGTGATCTGTGATAATGTTTTTAGTTTTTGTTTTATAATAATTAAGGTGAAGCGCGTCCATTTCGTAATTTGTTACAACTTGGTTACCCGGTATTAAGACTAGTATATTTTTGACAACAGTCTAATGAAACTACAATTTATCGCGTCATTTCTCTTGATGACGTAGTTGTATGTCCTCATTCATTGAATATGTTAACACTCGATCTAAGTTTTATTTTAGAACGGTTCTACTATGCTTTATTAAGAAAAACCACTCTTACATCTAGCTGTTAGGAACGTCATAATACCAGTTTTTATATTACGAAATTCAAAATCACATATTTGTACTAAAAGAAGGTTAATTATATGCAGATATGTTTTTGATATTTAGATAGATCTGCATATGCTTTAAAAATTTGTCCATAGAGAAAATATTTTTTCTCTTCAATCCGCAAAACATTTATGGACATCTATGGGATAGGCGGATGCACGATTTCGCCTTCTTAATATCTTCTATCACAAGAAAACTTGTATAAAACAATTAACTTTTCTTTAAATAGATACCTACATAATATATACTGCGTCTGAATTAATAACTGAAGGCCAATTACTTCTTGTGTTTTTAGTATTACTAAATTGGGATTAGTGCACTGTCGTTGCTACTTTGTAGAAAAAAAATAGATTTGTAAGGTCACTGTTTCCAAAACACATTTGTGTCTAAGCTAATTATAAGAAAATAAAGCAAGTATCAAATTATATGTAAGTTAAACGACGTTATATTTATCAATTCTTTTAGAAGAGACATTTTTTTGTCGGCTACACATGCATTGACTTATCCATAATATTTTGAAAAATGTCCTATTGACAGCTGCTGTTAACGTCTATAAGTATTTACGAGTGTCAGAAGCGCTAAAATTTTTTAAAATGAATATCGAACACATTAATCTTGAAAAAATTGGGTTACTGTGGTAAAAATTTAAGATCGTCTTATACTAATCGGTCATTAACTTTCTTTTACTTCTTGTAAACTGTAAGACGCAATTCTGTAATATGTAATAAAATTATTTATGAACTGCTAAGTGCGACTAACTCACCCACATATGATGTTCATATGAACAGCACTTGGCTTTTAGAGTATCACTTGTTCACAGTAAACGGTTTTGAGCAGGATGGCTGTTTATGAAGAACCACATTAAAATTAATGCATCATATATTTGTTTATGGATAAGAAACATGTGTCTAGATATTTTAAAAAGTTTGAGCTGTGCGGAGTGTTGAAATAAATATATATTTCTGCTAAAATGCCATTTGAATATGAAAACTTAATAATAAACTTTTTTTCCAGTCATACAACTCGCACCACGACATGGGAAGATCCTCGAAAATCGTTAGCCGCCCAAGCAGCTGCCCAGCAACATCAAAGCGCTGAACAGCTATTAACTGCACACCAAATATCACATCCCCAATCACCGAACCCTAATAGTAAGTAACTAATCATTCTGTCGAACCTTGCATTAATGAAATTAATATTCTATACCCTAAAAGTCATCTCATTGAACTAACTGATTTTTTTACATATAATACTGAAGGAGTCATAATTTTTTTTTTTTTTTTTTGAAGCAATGTTACTGTTACATGAAGAATCAGTTTGTTGTTTCTGTATTGAGTATCTATCCCTATCCTTCAACGATAAGTATTCGTAGAAAAAATGAGCTCTAATTGATTTTTCTTTTCTACAGCTGCCAAAGTAAATTCAGATGTAGATTTAGGGCCTTTACCTGAAGGATGGGAACAGGCACAGACTCCTGAGGGGGAAATTTATTTCATTAATCATCAAACTCGTACAACTTCGTGGTTTGACCCTCGAATTCGTAAGTTAAGCTAAAACTTTCATAGTCGTACACATTTATCGCCTTTTATACTACTCTCTAATACTGCGTGACTTGATACGTACAGAAAAAGGGCTAACGAACCCGTGAGGAATAAAATTTTTGCTTCTTTTTTTTCAGCTACGCACTTGCAACAGAGGCCAGCGGGGGCGAATTTAGTTGGGTCAACATGGCATTCGCAGGCTCTGTCATCTTCACCTTCAAAAGCACAACAAATAAGGCTACAACAGCTACGGATGGAACGTGAAAGACTTAAACAGAGGCAGCAGGAAATTATGCGGCAGCAGGATATAATGATGAGAAGTTCAAGTGATTTACCTGTTATGGATCCATTTTTATCTAGTTTGACTGACCACTCACGTCAAGAATCCGGGGATAGTGGGCTTGGTAAGACATATTTAATTTTTCGTATATTTATTTACAATGTCTAGAATTTCAGTATTCTTAATAGCATTACTTGCGCAAACTTGTTGTCGTAGAATTAAATTCATGTTTTTAAAAAAGTTTTTTAAAAATTTAAGGTAATATATGACTTCGGAAACTGGACGGTAAATATTTTTTGTTGACGGAGGTGAAATTGTTAGAAGATGATTTAAAATTCAAGTAAAGGAAATATCTCTGCAGTCACGTTAGGGGTTTTTGTTAAGTTGGGTTCTTTTTTAGGTATGGGGACAACATACTCGATGCCACACACACCTGAAGATTTTTTAGCGAATATGGACGATAACATGGATGTTGGTAGTGAAAGTCATACGATGGACACACCTGATATTTCAACGTTAAGTGATAATATCGATTCTACGGATGACTTAGTGCCAACTTTACAACTGGGAGAGGAATTTCCTATACTAGATGACGTACAATCATTAATAAACCCTCCCACTACAAAGCCCGATAATGTACTCATCTGGTTGTAATTTAAGTGCCTAAAAATCTGCTCACGTCTTTCGAAAATTAAGGCAGTTTATTGTAATTTGACCTTAATTCGTGTAGGTAAATGATTATTTATTGAAAAAAAATTTTTTTTTTAATAAGCTGCTCCTTGTTTGCAATATACCACATGCATACGCTTTAAATGGCAATAAAATCTATTTTTTAAGAAGTGAAATTGTTATGCATAAATTTTTAGCATTTGTAATTTGTCACAGTTTATGGGAACGTTTTTACTGTTGGGTATGTTTTCATACATATTATTATATAGTTTTTAATATACATTAAGTTAGTTGTTACTTTATATATTCATATCAAATTTTATTCTATTTACATTGAATTGACCAGGTATTAAATTTTTTCTATTAAGTGTGTTATTTGATGACGTCTTAGAGAGCTCAATCAAATACTTTGAGGTAGTTAAATTTAAGGACACCTGGAGTGTACTGAAGACAACTAACTAAAAATAAACTTTACTAAATATTTATTAAATGTTGTGTTCTAGTATCTACGATTAAGTTGACATCTAATTTTATAAATATTTTATGTTAAATTTTATAACAAACCCACAATGTTCTAGATTTATAATTTCATATTGTATCTTTTACAATCGCAATTATTAAGTTTTATATTTTAGTAAGTATACTTCTACCGTGTATCGGTTTAATGTTTAATGGTATTTTGTAAGTTTTGCACTACCTGTTCATAAAGTGAACAGTGGTGCGTGCAAATTTTTCGGTTACTGTTTCTGATAACGGCACGTTATCATGAAAACATGATGCTCATAACTATAACAAATCCATCCATTTTGGTGCCTTTAATTAATATTTGTACATATAATCGACAATCGTTTTGTAATGTAAGTTTAATTATATATAATCTTTAATATACACTAACATATATTACAGTGCCTTTCGATGACGAAACTGTGTTAAAAAGCCGTTCAATTTATATCTCTTTGTAGATGCTTAGATACAGTTATCGCTTAAGTAGATGTATCATGGGTATTTTGCTGGCAAAATGTACCGTAATTATATTAAAAAATAGTCCTCTCAACTTTCTTTTTCAGTTGTTGAATTTGAATGAAATGGAACAAAAAACAGTACAAAAGTTGTAATGTAATTGTAACAAAGTTGTAATGTAATTGTTAAATAATTTGGCACATTTTGGTAGTGACAGCGATCATCTCCATTTTCCTTTTTATACGTTTAATATTACCTTAAATATTTTGTGCATAAAAAAACTTATTAGAGGCTTATTTGCATCTTCAAACTTGGTATAAAAATCGGTTTAAGCGCGTTTCATTTTTTATGCATAAAGTATCTAAAATAGCGGCAATTGAAAACTTCTATAAAGCTTCGATACTTAAAAATTTTTATGTATGTAATGTTTGCCGAGGAAATACATTCATTCAAAAGACAGATTTATTAATTGTATATTTTAGAAGGCACTTGCAGATGTAAGCATTATTTTATAAGTACCTATTATCCCATTTTTCAGTAATTGTAATCAAGTTAAAATTTTTGACATAACCATCATGCGTCTATGTAAATATTTTGTTTCAGTTTACTTAACTCTCAAAACTGTATATTAATTGTAATACCTTTTTGTAACCATAATAATTTTGTATGTTTTTCCAATAAACACAATGAGATTGGTATTGTATTTTGTTTTATTGTGACTTGTATTAGATTATTAATTGAATTGTAAATATACATTAAAAAAAAAAATCCGTATTTTTTTTTTTCATTTTCGTGTAGTCGCAAGGTCTAGAAAAAATATAAGTGAATTTTTACCATTTCCTGATATATACATCGACTAAATGAACTTTTTGCACAATACAAGGGAGGTGCTGAAAACTCGAGCAATTTTATTTTTAAAGTGAACATGAATGAATGAATAAAAAAAATAAAGTTAATTGAGAATTTTATTTGGGATCATCAAAAAATATTGATTACACTCCTACTTAATTCTACAACTACTTAGTCTACTAAAGGCACAGCAAGCGTACTTAACGTACAGAGGTTAAATCTAGAAGTTATAATTATAGTGAAATGACTGTACAAAATAACATGGGTAAAAGCTCATATTAAAATCAAAGGAAACGTATAAATTTCAATATTTAAACTATGTAATTATTAAAAAAGATTATCACTTTACAATACAATATCATCTCTAAACTGTTAGATATGACTTTTTTGTATGAATGAAATTAGAATACTTAGAAAGAAATTAAAAATTATCAACCCATTTAAGTACGAAAAGATTAGGAACACTTTACAATACACCTTTCAGTTTGCCCAAAAAGTATTACTATACAGAGTACTTCAGAAAATAACGACAAAGTACTTGAATATTCGAGAAATTCAAACTTGCAGTCTCTACTCGGGAAATATCTTAATAATAAAAGTCACTAAAATAGTATGTTTCGTTTTCGCGTAGTTATACGTTTTCATTTTGATTGATAAGCTCTTAAGTGACTAGAACAATTGGACAAATAAATAATTGAACATTTTAACCGTCGAACCTTAAAATACACAACAATTGAGATCGAATACTTTGTTTTTATTTATCAGTTTGTCATATTCTGCTGAAACACACTGTACATAAAATCATTAAAATGGCAAGTTTAAATAAAATGGAAACTTTTTGAGCACCATAAAATTGCGACTTCCGATAAGTTAGAAGTTCTGTGACCTTTTACGTTTTGTATCCATCGCGTCTAAAATGGGTTGCCTCTTAATTTGATACCTCCTTCTAAGTTCGTCTATCTCTCTCTCCATATCTGAATCTAGAGTATTCATCCGTTGCTGTAATTCCTCGTAACTCAAACATTTCAACTGAAAGCAAACAACTATAATAGCACCTTAAAATTTAATGAAGATGAAAGAAACAAGCAAGGATAATTTCTCGATATTTTACTCACAAATTCAAAATCCCCATCTGAAAATGGCCTATGGAACTGAGGTTTCTGTTCTTGAGGTTGAGCTTGTTGTGGAGACTGTGCTTGATTCATTTGTAGCTGACAGCGGCTTTGATAACGCTGTTCTTCAACCGTCATTTCAGTACCATCTATTGTAGTGGGGCTTGTAACTCCATTTCCTTGCTGTTACAAAAATATTTACATTATTTATATTCAGAAACTGATAAACATAAACATTTTTCATTAATTCAACCCACCTTAGTGTCCGCTTCCTTTTTATCGAAATGTTCTAAGAACATTGGTCTATACTTTTTACCTGCTTGTGCTGAGCCTGTGTCATGTCCTACAAGTATATACATATGCACATAAAACAAAATTATTTAGGCGTTCAATGACTTACTTTTCATTGTCTGTTCATCTACTTCGCTATTTATAACCATCGTGCCTAATTCCGATTCTAGTTCAACTAGTGTACCACTAGGAGACATGGGTACTAAAGTACCATCTTTATTAGGTACTAATGTACCTTCGTCTGTACATTGGACCATCGTTTGGTTTCCTACTGCTACTTCATCATCCTAAAAATAATTTAATAAGCATTATTTTTGTAATTCATTTTTCCCTTAAACTTACCGATTCCTCCGTTATATTTTGTTTTAACCCTGGCACGTTGGCAGTGGAGTTAACATTTCTATAACTCTGATTTTCTCTAATTTCGTGAGCTTCTTGAATCATACCGTTCAAAATATTAGGGACTTTGGCATTTCCTACAATACAAATAGTGGCGATATATTTCAAAATCTTTTTGTTTAATATAGATATTTTACCTATAAATACGTGGTTCAAAAGATCAGTCGCAGTAGCCCGTTCCTCTGGATTTTTGACAAGGCAGACACTAACAAAGTCTATAAATTCTGCACTCCACTTATCTGGTTCCCTAAAGGAAGGTGGAGGTTTGGTTGGTATCATAAAAATGGCCCTCATAGGATGGATGTCACCGTAGGGTGGCTTTCCTTCAGCCATTTCTAAGGCAGTTATTCCCAGACTCCATATGTCTGCTACGCAGTCATAACCAATCTCCTGTATAACTTCTGGAGCCATCCAAAACGGAGTCCCTACAATTAGATTCATCATAAAGTACGAAAACCTACAAAACATCGTCTTGACAAATATTAGGTGTAGATGAACCATATAATTTACTACGAGATTTCTTTAAGCGCTTACTTGAAATAAAAAAACCTAATCTTTTCTTAACCATTTCACTTCAATATTGTTAATTAATTAGGGAATATTTTAAACATTAATAATTATACTAGTTAAAAGTTACTAAGGACAATAGAAGTATCTACGTAATAAACATACCAATCACAGTATTTCGTTTGGCCATGGTGTCCGTCAGTTGTCCTGCTACGCCAAAGTCAGCTAATTTGGCATGTCCTTCTGAATTTAATAAAATATTTCCAGCTTTAATGTCCCTATGAATTTTCCTTCGCAAATGCAAATATTCCAAGCCTTTTAAAGTGTCAGATAAAATTGTGGAAATTTCATCTTCAGTCAAAGTCTTTTTACGTAATCTCATAATATCAGACACAGATCCGGCACCACAATATTCCATAACGATCCACAGATCCGTGTTTTTGAAGTAACTGCCATAATATTTAACAACATACGGACTGTCACATTGTTGCATTATAGAGATTTCTTTAATAATTTCTTGAAGATCTGTATCTACAGGTACTTGTTTTATTGCCAACACTTGACCAGATTCTTTGTGAAGTGCTTTATAGACACTTCCATATGACCCTTCGCCAAGTTTGCATATTATATCGAAAACTTCTTCTGGCTGTCGTGTCAAGCTTTCCTCTGACAACTTTTTTAACTCACTGAAATTTGTAAAAAATAAAATATTTATGAAGTTATTAATTTCATAAAAATCTAAACAACAATTTACACCAAAATGTTTTAATAGTATAGTTATACTAACAACAAATTGAAAACATTTTACATTTGGTCAGTAACAACAAGCAAAAAATGCGATAGTTCTTTAAAAATTATCAATTATTTGACTTCAGTATTTTGATTAACAGTCACTTTGGTTTTAAGAACATAAATATTTACACATCCAGAAATAGACTGCCTACATTCACGTTAAATTATATTATAATTATTACAGTAGAAGCACCGAAAATAATAATACTAAAAAGAATAAAAATAGGTTATCTTCCTGGTTAAATTGATAGAGAAGAATATTTACAACAAAATATAAATATCATGTATTTTCACTTACCTTTTGGAAGACATTTTATATTATGAGATATTACAGTTACAATAAAAAGAATTAAACAAACATTTCATGTTTAACAGAGACTTATTTATAATTTATTATTATTTTCTTGTAACTTCAAGCTCCATGTTGACTTGCAACTACCTCCTATTATTCCTGTATTCCTGTTTTATTTTGACAAATTCTGAAATCTGCCCATTTTGGTTTGCGTCTTAAATAAGTTCCGGAGTTAGGCAACTACCATTGAAGATATGTATATAAATGGTTGCAGCACATCACAATACTAGATTTCTATGTACACCTACGTCATAAGGTCGACTTAAATATCTGTAAATTAGTTCACCATAAAATAATTAAAATTAAAAGAAATATTTTTAATAGATTATAATTTCATCTTTGTACATGTAATATTTCACCTTTAAATGCAGCTAAATTTTTCATAAATTTATTTTTAATATACGTGCAGCGAAATACGCTTTAAAAATTTTTAACGCGCTATTAGTGGAAAACTTTTTTATGAAGCTACTTCTAGTAGACTCTATTGTTCCATTATAAAAGATATGTTATAATAACAATAAGGTATAGTTTATTAAATACCATTATATGGATACATTGTATATTAACTAATCGGTTACACATAGCATAAACACCGATAATATCTTTATTACATAAATTAAAATGTAATTTATTAGACGAAAACAATTAATAATGATAATATAGTTTTTTGCAATTAACAATAAGCAATGAGTGTGGATGGATTAAACTTTTATTTATGTGTAAAATTATTGAATCGGCGTTTGTTGTGTTTTGTAAAATTTATTTATCATTTACGTCACTGCGGACACTGGGGTAATGTGTTTTGAAAAAAATGGTAAACATTTTTATGTTTAGTTATTAATTTATAGGTACGGTGTGATAAATTGCTTTGGTAAAAAATAAATTGTTCTGAACTTTCTACCTTCAAATGCGAACCATGGGAAAATACAATCGACAATGGCAAAAGTAGAAATATGATCTATTTCTGTATTAACCGCATTATTATTCAAAACACGTGCCTTAACTTTATAAATTGAAGGAGTCAAAGGTAAAGACATGAAGATTCAATCACATAGTTGATCCAGTTTTGGTGGAAAGTAAGAAAGTCCTCTAAGTGAGCACGTGAAGCCAAAGCGAAGAGAAAGAGAAGTGGATGAGTCGATCGTAATAACTTGGACGGTGTAACCGCATTTCAACGTGGTCCATAGCCAGCATCCACCCGCACTAGAACAAACCTGTTATTACAGCGCTTGGTCATTGTCCGCGGACTTTACTTGCTCCGTATGACCTAAATGGAGCACACCCAAACTACAGATCACAAAGGCTTTGCCTTTTCACTTTTAACACTGCTGTGTGTTCTATTCCAACCCGATCACCGATTTATTTTTTTGATCAAACTATTTCCTTCTAGCTTTATACACAATACACAGGATGTTATCACGATACTGTCATAAATCAAAGATGATTATTAAATAAATAGCAGGTAAGTACTCCTGAGACATCCCATGTAGTGAACTTTTTTAAGAAGCAACATTATTAACAGAGAAGTCATATTTTATGTGCAAAAATTCTATACTTTGTAAAGAAACCAGTATAACGCAGGCAGGAAGACTAAATTTTATCAGAAATGTATTACAAGAGAAGGAATAATAAGTGGCAAAGGGATAGTCATAAAAGCTGCTTTATGTCGCTTTAATGAGATGCGTATGGCCTTAAAAACCCACTCAACTATTTAGCTATCTTTATCTTAGGCACAGTTTGTTCGTTTACAGTTTTTATAGTAGCCATAAATTTAACACCTCACTGACGATTAACAGGTATTTTACAACAAAATACTATTTAATTAACAGTGTTTTAACCAGTAAAAATAATAATCAATTGAATCATTATGATTATCAATTAAAAATTCCTAACGTACCTAGCATTAGCAACATAAATTTTCCTCTTCGAACTCTATTAAGCATCGAAATTTATAGCTTTGTTTAATGGCTATATTATGTTGGAGTGCTACAATATGCAAGATATAGTTATGGCCATGTATCATATTAATTTTACAAGTAACAGACTAAGCTCTATTCAAAAATATTTTATTATGTTTTCACGTACTTCATGATAATGAACTGGACAAATCAATATTTAAAATTCACTTGTATATTCACACATTCATACATTTTTAAACGAGGCAGTTGAAAATTGAAACAAACTTGTTAGGTATTGAAATTCATGTATTTGAGGTGAAATTTAAAAATTTAGATACATATATTTCTACATACTATTTAAAAGTTAATGTATCTACATGCTCCTTGGTTGTCAGACAATGTCTGCATGTATTTTATGAAACGTAGGTAACTGATTATGTATGCTAGTTTTTAAATTAGTTATGTTACTTGCTTCATTTTAATACTGTGTAGTGGGTATTTAAATGACATGCAGATGTACCTTATGTGATTTTATAAACTTTAGTTTAAAAATGTGACAACTACATTTCATATTTTAAGACAGATGACAACGAATGGTTTTTTACTATGCCTGAAATTTTAATATATTCTCAGCATCAATCATATTAAATACTAAGTGTGTTCCAATGAAGTACATTCATCACCAGTAAACCGAGCACTCATCCATGAAATGTAAAAATAGTAATTCTTGAAGTTAATTACATGAAATACTTTTTTAATTTTGAGTTCTCGTTAGACGGATCGTGTTAAATGTGCAAGTATAACACCGTGAAAGAAATAAGCGAAAAGTATGCAGTGTCAAAAATTCTTTTGAAATGTGCGACATGTAACTACTTAAAAAAAGATAAATCCCACAATGTCACTGGGTAAGGTCGTATATAGCAACCTCTAACAGATGGTCAAAAACTAATAACACTAATGAATTTATCACCCTCAAGAATATTTACGTACAAAATTTGAAAATTTCAAATGCATTATATTGTTTTTTAGAAAATATAATAATACATGTATAATATTTGATTACAAAAACAGAAGATGATAGGCTCATCGTTCAAAGGAAAAAATCCTCTTAATTTTTATGTTCTATACCTTTTTAAACAGTCTGTATTTATTAAATATACAAATTATATTAATAATTAGTATTATTTTTATTCATTGGTACCTAGTATCTCTATGTGTTACCCTTCCTGGATTGTCTTTTGCCAGACTCTCTTTTTCAATTGGTAATGCGGAGAGTGCCGATTATGACCGATTCGGTTCTAACATTGTTTGTCAACATGCTACCTGAAGGCTCGTTGCTCATTGGCTACTGGTGGTAGTCTGTTGAAGTTTTTTATAATGTGGTGGTGTTGTGCTTCGCTTGTGTAAAAATATGTATCGTAAAGTGGAAATTTATATTATTTTTACGTTCAGAAATGTTGAAACATTAAATAACAACATAATTATTATACAGAAACAAAAGTTAGACGTGTACCTTTTACAGAAAAAGTAACAACAGAAGCTGGCTCCCTTGGATTCCGAGAATTCGGTGATTTCGAGATTAAAAATGTTTGGGTTTTAACAAAACAAAGACGGCGCGGCGTCTAAATGTAATCGTCAGCTGTCATAACCTGTTACAAAAAGGTACGTACATCACAATATCGCCTCTCCTATTGCAATATATTTAAAAAACACCGAGAAAATATTTACTGTGATATTAAATTTTAGTATTGAGTTGCTAATAAATATAATTTGGAATTCGTAATGCTATGATGTTAAACCAAACCTCACTTTTTTATTTTTAATTTTTATTACTGAAGTGTATGTTTCATCAACGATTTGATGGACTTCGAAACCAAGAACTATAATATCAATTTTCAAATCGATTTCACAAAGTAGAATATGTCTTCCAATAATGAACTTAGTTAGAATTCGACTTGTTGCAGCAATCTACAAAGAATGTATCATAAATACAAGCGTTACTTTTTCAATTACCAAGATTTATCTTAATACGCTGCATATCTAAATACTTATATTTCTTTATCAAATTAATGATGTGCCATAATTAGGTACTTATATTTTTAAGAATTCTTATATAACTACTAGAAACTTGATAAAAGTGTATTTTTTAACATAAATCTTCGTTCTACTTATACTTGACTGAATGTACTTTTAAATCAATGGCCATAATTAGTAATGAACTTGTACAGGTACAGTTTAAAGGTAATTTGTAAAAGCTATTCTTAATTTTGTGTTGACATTAAAAAAAACATTCCAAAGATCATGTTGCTATTTTTTTATAAGAGTTAAGCTACTAGGAAATGCTAAAGAAAATAATTGTTTTCTGTAGTCTAATATAATATTTTTATTTCAGTGTTCCGTAAATGCAGCCTAATGGGACATCCACAATGGTTTAGTGATGAAAGTGTTAGTGACAGTGACTATAAATGACTAATCGGAGTCATGTTGATCGCCGTGGTCAACTTAGTGACTATTCGTTGTTATCCGTTGGTTGGTGAGTTGAACCAGGGACGAGCACCTCTAGTAATATTCGGTAATTCACGTTATCGATATATTCCTGGACAAATAAGGCCCTAATTGCTTTCTTGGAAGAGAAGACCTAGGTTCGAGACTACTGAGATATCAAATGTAGATCCCGGGTGGGTTGAATCTTCTGAGAAATCAATTGTAGACTCACCAATTTCGCGTTTCGCGAGTGAATGTGCGGGAAATGGTAGGAATTCTTCGAGGGAGTTGGACGCGTTGGCTGTGGATTAGTGGTAAGTTTTATTTTTACGTGATATGTATGATGAATTTATGAAGTGTTAAATTTCGTAATTTTTTGTAATTACATTATGTGTGTTTTAGTATCTTACAATTAGAAAATAATTTGAATTTGTAAACACATTTCAAATCATTCTATTTGTTAAATTTTAAAAGAAAATGATCTTAAAATCATACTTAATTTGCTATTTTTAGTTCTCCGAAACCGTTATTCTCGACTTAGGTATATATTTTTTCATTTTTAAATTGTACATTTTTCAACGTTTTCTAGAATTTGTTTATGATACGTGAAAACTTCACTTTTTGAGAAAAAAAAAAATAACTACAAACATCTTTAGGCATTTAAAATAAACAACAAATTGAATGTCCCTATTTATTTAAAAGAAATGTATAGGTTAGGTACTTGGTCATCCAGTAAGCATTTAGAAAATAATCTATAAAATATACACAATTACTACGGAAAAATATTTTTTTTTTTACGAAATCTATTAAAAGTCGGCTCTGTAATAATGTTTTTATTGGCTCGAATTCAATAAGTTAACAGCACTTTATAATCGAATTAAAAATGGAAGGTACTTTCCTCGCTACTTTCTTTTACTTAATATGTTTCACACTATACCGAGAATAATATATAAGTACTTAATTTTTTTCTGTAATGTTATACCTACAAACTTTGCGTTCAAGAGTCCGATATTTATATACTTATGTATATTTTAACTACTCGAATTTATTTAATTTCCGTAAATTTTGATAGAATCTAGCGTTACAAAATAAGTTGCTTAGGTATTAAAAACAATTAGAACTTTTTTATAATGTAAGCTGGTCCGTGTTAATTTTAACCACTGTTATGTAACTCATAAGTTGAACCGCATTTTTTCCTAGAACAGTTTTTTTAGTGAAAAACAAAACTCATGCAGAGAGCAATAAACTGAGGAAAAGCCGAGGCAAAAACTTAATTTAAATTATGTTAAGTCGAAAAACTGAACAAACATATAGGGGCAATTTAAGGCATAAGCTCGAGCAATGCTGCATAATATTTAAGACCGTTAAACAATTATGTACGCCACATATACGTTGCGCGCATGCGTCATCTCCACCTCTCTCTTATTTGAGTAATACTTGGTAATTAATTATGAAAGTGAGTATTTTTGTGTACAAATTTTAATCAATGGTTTCCCCCTGGGTTTTCACATTTTTTTAATAGCAGTTACAAAAATAGCTTGAATCGTACGATTTTGTCGCTTGTAACTAACTAAATTATCAGAATCTATGTTATGGCGGTTTTCCACTGAACGGACAGTTGAGTTTATGTCCTGTTTGTGTTTTCTAGAACAAAACAAAAACAAAACTGAAACAAACCCAAAACTCTTGTTTCCATCAAGCGGGCTACTTTTTGTTCGAGTTTTATTTTTGTTTTCAGTTCTTTTCCACTGGTTGTCGCAAGGAAGTCTGAACACATTTTTCCAATAACCAGCCAACATGTTTAGAGAAGATTTTTTTATTCTTAGTTATGGCTGGTTTATACTGTCCTTGGAAAAAAAGTGTGTCTACAGAGTGTCCCACCTCGAACTCCTTCGATGGATATCTGGGAAACCGCTGTAAGGATTTTTTTGAAATTGTGATGGTGCGATACGGACCGTGGGGCCCACCAGGTTAAAATATTTTCAAGGTCATCGTACTTCCGGTTACACCGGAAGTCGATACTAACTTTCTTATTTTAAATGGAACCCCCTGTATATTATTGCATTTTTGGAAACATTATCCATTTTTAAGTTGAAAACATATAACACACTCCATACTTAGGATTGACCGTTTCCGAGATATTTCGATTTTTAAACAAAAATTGACAGATGCAGACTGTCAGCAAAATTTAGTTTTCCCGGTTTATTTTTTTGTGCAAATTGGCCATTTTGTAGAGAAAGACCTACTTTATCGAATTTGACATGAATATTTTCCAGTTTTTATACAGGGTGATCAAAAAAAATTATCGAATATGTGGAAAACTCGAAATTTTTAAATGGAAACCCCTATTTCTTTTGCAATAATATACAGGGGGTTCCATTTAAAATAAGAAAGTTAGTATCAACTTCCGGTATAACCGGAAATACGATGACCTTGAAAATATTTTAGCTTAGCAGGCTCCACAGTCCGTATAACGCCATCACAATTTCAAAAAAATCCTTCGAGCGGTTTCCCAGATATTCATCGATGGAGTTCGTGGTATATGTACGGTTAAAGTGTTTACTTGTTAGTTTGTATCCTAGCCAAGTAAACACTTTAACCGTACCCATATATATTTTTTAATAGCTATAATTCATTAATGATTAAAATATTGTTTTTGGGATGAAGAAAATGCCAACATAGATATTGGGTTGGATCACTTAAATAGAAAACACAACACGACCGATTCCACTAAACAGACTTTAGTTTCAAAACACGTCGAAACCTTTTGATGTGACCGCTTTCGAGCTGGACCCGAAAAACAAAACTCCAACTGTCGCAAAACACGCCAGTCTTCAAAAAGTTTGCGAAAAGTTACAGTTCTGTTTTATTCGACACAAGTTTTGTTTTGTTTTTGTTTTGTCCGTTTAGTGGAAAACCGCCTTTATTGGATCAATATGTTTTAAGTGGAAAAAAAAATAAACATCGTAGTTATTTAAAAGTGGGATTGACTATATTTGTATTTTTTTAAATAACGTCCTTTGAATCATAATCAGTCAATAATTAGGATTAGGTATTTGTGAATGGAATGGAATATTGTATTCGAGATTGTATTAGATCGTTGTTTTCAAAATACATTTAAATTGTTTAAAATTCAGATAATTATAACAAAACTAAACCAATTTTAAGTTAATTAAACACTAAAGTCAAAAGCATGTTATTATATCAATTCGTTTAATTTTTTTATATTCACTTGCAATGTTAATCTTTCCAGTCAAAAGTTAGTTTTGTTCCTACAAGAGTTACTTAACAGTAGCATAAAAAAAACTGGAGAGTCTCTCGAGTTCGACTGAGAGTTTGTCCAAATAGATTGTTATAAAACTTTTTGGAAAGACTTTAATGTTGCATATTATTCATCTGTTATTTCTATAATAGAAAATATTTCATTCTTTCAAGTAAATTATTTATTTATTTAAATTTCTACCCACAAATACAATTTCTTATTATAAAAATAGGCAGCATTTTAATAAACATTTGATATACTTACGGTCGGCAGAATTATATTCTTAATTTTGTAATATGCACAGATGCAACAGAAAAATGTGTTGTATTCTAATATATTGTAATTAATTTACCTATCGTATGTTTTATACAAAATTTAATAGTTTTGGTCAAATGATTGAATAGGTATACTTATTTTAAGAATATAACTTGGAGAGAATATTTGAATGACATATAAATCGTGGTGCCAGTACTCGATTAGCGGAAATATTTCTCACAAATAGAATAGGTACTTCTTTTACTAACTTACCACATTGATACAGTGAAAAGTTTAATCCATATCCAAATCAAAATCCAAATCAAAATCCAAATCAAAATCCTAATCAAAATCCAAATCTAAATCCAAATCAAAATCCAAATCAAAATCCAAATCAAAAATCCAAATCAAAATCCAAATCAAAATCCTAATCAAAATCCAAATCTAAATCCAAATCAAAATCCAAATCAAAATCCAAATCAAAATCCAAATCTAAATCCAAATCTAAATCCAAATCAAAATCTAAATCCAAATCAAAATCAAAATCCAAATCCAAATCTAAATCCAAATCATACTCATACTCATAATAATATCATAATAATCATAATAATAATAATCTCTTTATACCGAGTATTACCACCGACGTGTAAAAACATTTGGACCCGTCCCACTCTGTCTCTACGAGCTGACACATGTTGTCTTGTTTCACCATAAATTAAAAACGACGTCCATCAACTCCGAGTTGCTATACACATAAGCCATATTGGACACTTGAAAAACTAATGTCAACACTATCGCAAAAACGTTAATACTGACATCGGATTTCAGTATTCGGAATCGTCTGGGCCCATTCGGATCCCGCTAGAGAATACAGTAGCCCAGTGATGTAAAGGTAATGAAAATACTACAACTTCTATAATTTTTTTCTCGGAAATTAAGGATTTTACAAAAATTTTTTTTACGATATTGACTCCTTTTTTGTCATGACGCATATATTCCCAAGTTGTGAATCACCCTGTATACCCTGTACCATAAGTACTTAGTTGTTCTTTAGTTGAAATAGATTTTACATTAGGTTGAATAGTTAACGGAACTTAATTTAATATTCAGTTGTTCTCAATGTAATCCCTAAAAATTTAATAACATTATTACTTACCAAGTGCTCTCCAATTTTTAAATTCAATGAATTACAAAGTTTTCTCTACATTACAGTGTTGTTTGTTAAAAGCGTACCTACCAGTTACTTAAGATATCTAGCACCCTATTGCGTTTACGTTCTGCGTCAGATTTGGCTGAAATAATAACAAATCAATCATCGGCATACATAGAAAGAGACATTTCGGGTATCCATTTCCTTGGTGTATAAAATAAACAGTATCGGGCCCAGAACAGAACCTTGAGTTAGAAATTTTAAGGCGCATTGCGCTTAGGTACCTATAATGGCAAATTTAATTTCGGCCAGTTCAGAATGTTATATAAATAAATCTAGCAAACATTTAAACGTTTGCCGAATGCGGTGTTTGCTTTAGCTCGGGTATATTTAAGTCGGTTAAAAAACGCGAGGAAAGCTCCGGTACAGGCGAAGCGCGATCCGCCTAAAGACAAAGACCATTTAAAATGGAGCTATCTTTATTATTAATTTATAATATCGCACACAATGCAACATAGTACCTATACTGTATCATATCTATCCACTAGATAGAAGGGGTCTGCCTCGGAATAAGAGGAAGGGCGCTATGGAACGTTAGTTGACGTGCATCCTCCGTAGTATCGGTACTCCAGCTACGAAGGCACGTCTTGGGTTTGGCAACTCACGTGTTGATCGTACATCGCGCCGTCGTATACGACAATGTGTGTGTAATATCTAGTGTGACTTATTATATTGCAGTGACAATTGAATTAACAAAATGTTTACACGGTAACTTGAAGAATAATTTTTTTTTACTACTCACTTAACACCTGTCCGTTAAACGACGTCCCAGACTGGCAAATGTTTTCGGTGGTGGTTATGTTTATTTACGATTCGAAAAACTACGATCGGGTTGTACGCGCGGTATTTTTGCGGTTATGTTTTGGGCGAGGATTTTTGGAAACTTCACTACGCAAACATAAAAAAAGAACGTTGCAGCCCGATATAACATGCGCCAAATTTTTTGTTGTTGTTTGAAAGTTAAAGTACATAAGTAGATACTTTATTTTAGACAAAAGGTGTTGTTTTTATATTTAGCGACGTTTCTATTTCGGCATTTTGAATTTCACATTATCTTGTTCGTAGTTGCGACGCCAGTTTTTTTTCTGTCACATAAATGACATCCCAGCAAACATATTAATCTTAACTTTATCCATAGTTTATTGGTATCGGTAGTATCAGGATTTATATCTTGGTGACTTTAATGCGACGGTAAGTTACCAACCAACGCAAGTCCGCTGATTCTTCGCTGATGTTTCTAACATAAATTTTGCATTTATTTTAACAGGAACCATGAAATTTGCGTCCTTAAATGATTTAATCATAAGATTCAAAAACTGTTTGAAATTTACTTACTAATTATCTGAATTCTATTATTTCTGTAATAAAAGTATGTTAGCCAAATATCCGCAACAAAACGACCAAAAGAATTGTTTACATAAGTAAGTACTCAAATATAAGTAGATGGGTAAAATTTTCATGTACTTAAGTGATAGATAAAGTTAAAAAATATGCAATATGGATTTTTAAAATAATCACAGACGCAATTTTTTCTCTTCTTGAGAAATTGTCCTTTTCAAGAGAAATCTTTTTCGGGAAGTGTGGTTAATTTATTTTTTGATTTTGTAAAGGGTTTAATACTTATATCAAATATTATTTTTATTTTATTTTACCCCACTTAATAATTAAATTTGATTGAAAGAAATCTTAAAAATATGTATTTATGTCTTTGTAATTCGTACCTAGAAAATTAAGGGATTTTCGCATAGTGAAATAAAGATTTAGATAGTAATTTTGCGCTTACAAATTGATGAAATTTTGCTGCTTATTTTTTAGTGTAAACAGTGAAATCACTTAAAACATACAAAAGTACAGTGAAAATTTTCCAAAATATAGAAAATTCCCGACGATAGTGAATGACACTTAATGTGACATTAACTAGAATGTGTGTTAAATAGAATTTGCGGATTTACTTAGCAACATTAAAACTTAAAAATGCATGGAATTGTACATAAGCATTGTTATTTTGAAATAGACTTGCCTACTTAATTAATTGGAAAGAATTTAATTAGAAACATTAGTAAAATTTTCAGAAACTACCATAATTTTACAATAATAATGTCTACACCTATTTTTAATTTGAAATATTCCTCATCAGATATTTCTATTGGCCTGATGTTATAAAAACACTTTTGATACTTACCATTTTTTTTTATTTTGCAGAAATTTATAGACAAGTTAGAAAAAGTTAGCCGGCTTTGTTTTACTGTTTACTCGACAAAATAACCGATAACTAATTAGCAAATTTTTCGCATATAACATAATTTCTCATTAAAGACTACCGAAGAGTAAGTAATTTTGAACCATTACCTATCTGAACGGCGTTAAGGAAAAAAGTGCAGAACGCGTAAATAGTTTGTGTGAATGTGACAGCCGTACAAAATCATCCGTGAAGATACACAAAACTGTAATTAAATTCCGTAAACGTATAATTAAATTGTCTGAATAAGCATTTTATTTTTTATTTATATGTATCGATAAGCGTTAAATCTTTTAAAAATGGCTGTGCGGTTGATCGGTGACTAGATTTTGTTAAAAATTTACAGTTAGAAACCTTGTGTAATGTGTAAAAATTCAACAAAATACAGTAACGTTAAAATATGCAGAGGTATAAAAAAAATCTGACTTATTCACAATCGGTTTTTATTAAAATTTAAATAACATATCTCGCATCTTCAAACTTGAATTGCAGTTCTATAATTACCGATTATCTCGTAATTTTCCGTATTGTTTAATTGTTTATAAAGAAGTTGTGGTAAAAATCTAACAAGTTTTTAATTTAACGAATTAAAATTATCGGAATATTTATAATTACTTATTTTTTTCATACAACACATTTTGTACCTTTTCTCTAAACAATAGAGAACAATATTTATCTGCAAATATTGATATATTCGGGCTATATCCGTTCCGCAAATAAAACTGTGTTATTTACAACGTTGGCCAGTGGAGTAATAATCAGTAGGAACATTAAAAATAAAGTAATTGTATTTTAAATTACAGAACTATAACGGTGTGGGTGCGTCGAGATTTATTAGAGACTGTGATTCAACAAAATTATTTTAATCAATTCCATGTTGAATGAAATGATTCTCAGTATCAGTTCGGGAAACTTTCTCGTGTTACTGATTGAATAAAAAAAACGCTGTTGTTATTTTTATGAGCTTTATTTTTGTCCGCGTGCTGCACTCCAATAAGAACGGTTGTTTCCAAAGTAAATAGGACTTTTCACAAATAGGTATTTCCACCGAGGCCATCTATTGGCGATTGCATGCGTCGGAAACCAAAAATTGCTCAGAAATCAAATGCTGTTTAAATTACACCTAAACAATTTCCAAAGTTGATATATGGGCGTTTGTTGGATACAACGAATTATCAGAGCAAGTGTATTTCTAACATGTTTTATTGCCAGTGTTATTTAATTTTAATGGTCATCATTATTTATTATCAGAAGCTAAACATAAAATTTATCTACCACCAGATAAAGATGTAAAGTTATATGTAATTTGCACGATCCGCAATAAAATATGGCATTATGTCGGTTGCACTTGCTCGTCGTTTTTGTTGAATTTATTTTTGCGAATCCCGATAAAATAATAAACCCACGTTTATAGCAAGTGATTGACATTTTGTATAACACCAACAAAAAGTTCTGTCAAACGATTTATTGGTAGAAACTAACTGTATGAGGGCAAAGTTCATACAAAGTAACACTGGAGCTTTCACTTTTTACTTTTTTTAGTAAGGGTAAGCCTTATCTAAAATACGCGTGAGAAGAAAATATGAAAGCCAGAATATTTTGTCTAAGTATTAATATTATTCAGTCCCTTGAAAGGTTGTAGTCATAGTGCAACATTGTCTTACATACCGGGTGTTCGTTTTAATAAAAAATGAAAAAAAAAATGAGTAACGCATTTTTTTTTATTTAAAGTTAAGCAGAAACTTCGTAGCTGCGGATGATGAATATTCTAATATGTTAATGGTATGTGTGAACGGCAACAATTCAATAGCATTTAACCAGTCATGCTCCATAATGCAGTATGGTACATACCAAGAGGTGATTTATACATTTCCACCACGGTTAAATTGTAGCTGCGCGTATCCAGAAATGCGAATTATCCGAACACATTGTTTCGTTTCTAAAAAGATATCTTCATTTCTTATAAGTTCTTTTAGAGAATTTCGCTATTTCAACTATTTAATACAGTATGGCGCGTACAGCAACTCGATATAAATTCTGGTTTCGTGCAAAGTTATTTGGAAATTAGACTAATTAATTTATTCCTTGCTTTTAGCAGCTAACTTTATAGCGCCCTGTATACTTTAAGAACCGAAGGTTTGGTTAAAACTCACTTATAAACGGCTACATATATATTCGAAAGAGTGTTAAATATTCAGTGTTCTACAGACGACATAATTGCAAAATTCCTGTACCTACGCTAATGAGTGTCGACATTTTTTAGCCAATCGCTTAGCTTTGTTGGAATTTAGAAAATCTCAAAAATCCGGCGTGGTAAAGTCGTCATTACATTAAACTCATTTAAATGCTCTCCCGTCAACTTATTACGAATATTAGCGGAGTATCTCAGATACTGGATGTCAATATATATAAATATCAAATAAATCAAGTCGGCATGTTAATTTTTTGTCGTGTAAAATAGAACCATCGGAATTAATACGTTGATAGAGATGTCTTGCTTGGTGTAGTTGTACAGTGGTGAAAAAAATTATTTATATAAAGGATTCTCTTAGGTTTTACGTTGTTAAGGATTATTTATTGATTGCTTCTTAATATACATTCTGTCAAAAATGTGTCTGGGATTGGCCATTTAAAAATTCCGCGTAAGGTCGATCTAAATGTCTTTTTTGCCTGAAATCTTAGAAAATGTCTGGAAAGACGTACGTACGAATTCAGTTTTATCGAAAACTCAAGTCGAAAGCATTCGAACATGGTCGAGAAATGGTTGACGATTTGCCACTTTCTGGTCGTCCGCCAACGTCTTGAACTGAAGAAAACATCGATAAAGTGAAGGAAACGGTGCTTGCAAATCGTGGTTGTAGTTTAAGAGAGCTGGCATATGAACTAAACATATCTCACGAATCAGTTCGCACCATTTTAGTTGATGTTTTGGCAAGGCTGATTCCAAAAGAACTTTCTTCAAAAAGAGCATGAAGACACATGCTGGACCGAGCTAATTCGGATTCTACATTCATGCAATGCATCGTAACGGTTTACGAGCTTCGAAAAGGCGCTTTTCTAATGAGCCGAAACCAAAAAAATCACGTCAAGGTCGGTCAAAAATCAAAGCCATGTTGACTGTTTTCTTCGATAATCGTGGTGTTGCCCGCACAGAATTCCTTCTGGATTGATAAACAGTCGACGAAGAATATTATCTGGGCGTCATGAGGCGTTTGAGAGAGAGTATCCGCCGCAAAAGATCAGATTCAACAAAGGACAATTCTTGGACTTAACACCATCATGAATTTTCAAGTTTCGAGTCGATAGAAGCTATAAAATGAAAATCGTTGAAGGAGTTGAAGCCCATACCGGAATATGTGTTTAAAAAGTGCTTTGGCGACAGGGTTATTCGTTGGGATTCAAATGGAGTCTACTTTGAAGGGGACAAAATAAATTTTGATGATTAGTTGAATATATTGCGTTTTATTGA